TGAGATAGTTTTTATTCCTCATTCATGGATGGGAAAACAGAGACTCACAGAAATAAGGTGATTTGCACAATTATCCATATGTGGTGGGATACAAACTTGACAACCAAGCCCATGCTCGTTCTATTATGCCTTCATGATTCTTACTTCCAATAGAGAAGGCTCAGCCTCATCATGCAGTTCCTTTTGGCCAGGAAGAGGAAAATTACATTTACCAAGTCCAAATGGTTATTAAGCTATTGTCTCACACAATGAAATCCACCAGTCTTTTTTATTGCAAATATTTACTCCTTATCTTTTATTTTGATTGAATTTAGAGGGGTGACATTGTTTGATAAAATTATATAGGTTTCAGGTACAGTTCTATAATACATCATCTGTATATTGCATCGTGTGTTCACCACACCAAGTCAAGTCTCCTTCCATCACCATTTAACCCCCTTTCCCCTCCTCTTCTCCTCCAACCCCCCTTTCCCATATTGGTAATTACCACACTGTTGTCTGTATCTATGAGACTGTTTTATATATATTACTGATTTCAGAGAGGAAAGGAAAGGGAGAGCTAGAAACATCAATGATGAGAGAGAATCATTGATTGGCTGCCTCTTGTACACCCCACACTAAGGACTGAGCCTGCACCCTGGGCATGTGCCATGACCGAGAATTGAACCATGGCTTCCTGGTTCATAGCTCAAGGCTCAACCACTGAGCCATGCCAGCTGGGCTTTTATTTATTTATTTATATGTGTAATCTAATGAACAAAATAAATGAACAACACAGAAATAGACTCATAGATACAGAAAACAGACTGACAGCAGTTAGAGAAGAGGGGATTGGGGGGCTGGGTGAAAAAAGTGAAAGGATTAAGCAAAAAATATATATTCACCAGTCTTTATTCCACTTCATGAAGCTGTGACTGTGACTTAAATAAACTACATTTCTCTTTTATCAGTTACCTTCCTATGTGGGTTTGCCAATAGGGGGCACTAGAGGAAGTTTGGTAAGCAGGAGGAGTGGAGAGGGAGTTCCCTTTTCCTATAAGCTGATTCAGCTCAGTGACTGCCACTGCTGAGCACCTAAACTACTAACAGCAGAAGCCAACACAAAGTCTTCAATATGACAGCATTCTCCCAGGAGACCACACACCCACTTGGTGGCAGGTTAATTACACTGGATCCCTCCTGTTACTCAAGGAGTAGTATTCTCTCTTCACTTAGCAGACATGTTTCTTGCATATTGATTTGCCTTACCTACTGATAAGATTTATTCCAGCACCACCGTCTGTGTGCACACAGAATGCTTTACCCCACCATGACGGGTTAAAAAAAAAAAGTGGGGAATGAGTGCATGCCCGTGGAATTCACTTATTTTATCACATACCCCATCATCCAGAAATAATTGGTGTAATAGTAAGTAGGAAAGCCCTACTCAAGGTGTAGTTATGACCAGTTGGGAGATAAATAGGACAATAAAGATTGACAACTATTTCATAGGAGGTAGAATATGCTTTAAAGTGGCAACCAATCAACAATCAATATCTATCTCTAGCTCCCATAGGCAGAAATCATGGGCCCAGGAATCAGAGATGGAAGTGGAAGTGGCTCCTCTCACCATCACACCTAATATCCTACTCACAAAATGTTTTATTTTAAACTTATTCCTTTGTTCCACTGGTTTGGAGGACTTAGTTCCAAGCAGAGGACACAATCATGATTTCACTGAAATAGAAGTTGAGACTGGCACTGGCAATTTTGGACTCCTGATGCCCCTGATTCAAAAACAAAGAAGAATAAAGACCTGTCTTATTTGAGATGATTGACCCAGGTTACTAAGGGAAGATTGAGTTTCTGCTGGTGAGTAGGATCAGGGTAAATTATATCTAGGCAATATATAGCAAATGGTAGGATTTCACCTTTTTATGGCTCAGTAATGTTCCATTGTGTGTGTGTGTGTGTGTGTGTGTATCACTTCTTTATTCAATCATCCATCAATAAACACTATTGTTGTTTACATTTCTTGACTATTTTAAATAACACTGCAATTAACATAGAAGTGAATATATTTTTCAAATTAGGGTTTTCATTTTCTTTGGATAAATATCCAGAAGTGAAATTGCTGGATCACATGGTAGTTCTATTTTTAATATTTGAGGAATCTCTATACTGTTTTTCATAGTGGCTGCACCTATCTGCATTCTCATCAATGCAGTGTACGAGGGTTCCCTTTTCTCCATATCCTCGCCAACACTTATCATTTTTTTTGGTCTTTTTCATGATAGCTATTCTAAGAGATGTAAGGTGATATTTCATGGTGGTTTTAATTTGCATTTCCCTGAAGATTAGTGATGTTAAATGTCTTTTCATGTACCTGTTGGTCATCTGTATGCCTTCTTTGGAAAACTGTCTGTTCAGATCCTCTGCCCATTTTTTAATCAAGTTGTTTGGGGTTATTTTTTGTTGTTAATGTTGAATTGTATGAGTATTTTACATATTTTAAATATGGACCCCTTATCAGATATATGATTTACAAATATCTTTTCCCATTTGGTAGCTTGCCTTTTGGTTTTCTTGATAGTTTTCTTTGCTGTGCAGAAAAGCAGCTTCATTTTTTGACAGCTTTATTGAGACATAACTCACATACCATTAAGCTCACCGATTTAAAGTGTATAGTTCAGTGGTTTTTAGTATATTCAGAGTTGTGCAAACATAAATACAATCTAATTTTATAACATTTTAATTATCCCCAAAAGAAACCCAGTACCCATTAGTAGTCACTTTCCACCCCTCCTCCAGCCCTAAAAAACATCTACTTCCTGTCTCTATGGATTTACCTATTTTGAACATTTCATACCATTGAAATTGTACAACTTATGGCCTTTTGTGACTGGCTTCCCCCCCATCACCACTTAACAATTTTTTTTTTAAAGTTCAATCATGTAGCATGCATTTTATTCCTTATGGCTGAATAGTATTCCATCGTATGGCTAGATCACATTTTTTCTCTCATTGACCTCTTCTAGCCTGCCTCCACGCCCCCAAGGCCTTCATCACCCTATTGTCTGTGTCCATGGGTTGTGCATATATGCATACAAGTTATTTGGTTGCTCTCTTCCCACTCATCCATTCTCCCCCACTTTCCCTTCTGAGATTCCACAGTCTGTTCCATGCTTCTATATCTCTGGATCTATTTTGTTCATTAGTTTATTTTGTTCATTAGATTCCACATATGAGTGAGATCATATGATACTTGTCTTTCTCTGGCTGGCTTATTTCACTTAGCATAATACTAATTCTGATAATCTCTATCTCTTCATTTAATTTTCACAACTCCAGGAGTTGCAACTCTTTCCTGCAGTTATAATCACTAGATGACCTCAATGTTCCCTTTTTTATCTTTCTAACTTCCAATGACAGTGTGATCAGCTTCCTGCATTGTTTCTTCAGTTGAAGTACCTAGGATCGTTTCTGTTTCTCTGACTAGACCCTGGGTAATGTAATCATATGAAGCATTATAGTCAGTTCATCCATATTCACTGAGAAAGGAATAGAAATTTCTTTAAACCTCAGCAGGCAGATAGGAATAATTCTTGTACAATAAAAGCTGTTAAACATCAGCATATAACCTATTAGTCAGTATCAAGATTTAATTGGAATCCAGTGAATGAGTAGCCATTCTGAGATATGTTAAGCATCTGTCTGAAATGGTTTAAGGCCAATACCACTTAAATTCTGGAGGAAAAGCCATTCCTCCATTTTTTCCTTCCTTTACTTATTATTCATATAATAATTATTTATTTATCACTTAATTCATGTCAGGCACTGTTCTAGATGCTGATGATATAATAGTGAATAAAACAGACAAAAATTATAATATTCATAGAGTTTATATGTTAGTGGAAGAAAGGTGGTAAACAAGTAAATATAAATCTGTCAGATGGCTACTAGCAATATGGAGAAATTCAAAGAATGGAAGAAAGATAGGGAGGGCTGAGTTTGGGTGTACATTGTTAAATAGTCTTGTCAGGAAGGACTTCACTATAAAAGTAACGTTTCAACAAACTGCTAGAGGAGATGGAGGAAAAGATATATGGATATGTGGGGGAAAGAGCGTCTGGGCAGAGGGAACAGCAAGGGTTCCCTCTAAAGCCCTTGACTTGGGAGGCTGCCTAGTTTGTTCAAGGAAACGGAAGGAGGCCGTTCTGGCTGGGCTTAAATCCAGGGAGGAAACTATAAGAGAGAATGTTAGAGAGGAAATGAAGGACTGATGGTATAGGACTTTGTATGCCACTATAAGGACTTTGGCTTTTATTACAAGTGTGATAGGAAACCAATGGAAGGATTTTAACAAGGGAATGATATCACTTGACTTATATTTTAACAAGATTACTCTAGCTTCTGTGTTGAGAATAGACTGTGGTAGTGCAGTTAGAAGGCAATAATCTGAATGGAGAATATAGTGAAAGCAGTAAGGAAATCAGTATTTGGATTCTGTGTTCATTGACAGTGTACAACTGGTTTCACCATAGATGGTCAGGGAGGCTGTTCTCTATAAGTCAGAATGTGTGAGATGGGAGAGAAGCTAAAGATGAATCCCCAAATTTTAGCCTGAGCAACTGGGAAAATGAATTGCTTATTACTGAAACAAGAAAGACTGTATGAGGAATGGGTTTCCAGGAAAAATCGTGAATTCAGTTTCGCTTATGTGAAGTTTGACATGCTTGTTAGACACCCAAATGGAGATGTCAAAAAGTCATCTGGATGTGAAATTGAGGGTAGAATCAAAACTGGAGACGCAAATTTTGGAGTTCCTCATGTATATATAATATTTATAGCCATGAAAATAATTTAAAAGATCAAGTGAGGAATTTATGTAGAAAAAAGAATAGATCCAATGATTGAGCCCTGGGACCAAGTTCAAAGAGATGAGAAAACAAAACAGTAAAGAGACTTAGAATGAGCAGCTGTTGAGATTGGAGGAAAATCAGAACCATGTGGCATCCTAGAAAGCAAGTGAAAAAAAGTCTAAGGAGAATGGTGTGATTAATATTAATATTGTGGTAACTTCTATCCGAGGACCTCATGACACTCTGGATGTATAGAAACATACATGGAGCAGTTAGATCTCTCTTCTGTGTTGATTTATATTTGTAGGATGTATGGCATAAATTAGGTCATTTAGTCATTTCCTATAGAGATATTATAAACATAACCAATTCCTATGGTAATAGGAATATTTCATGGATTATTATCATCTTGCTATGGTAAAAAAAATAGATCATTTGTCTTCAACAAGTGGTTCTACATCAAACTTTGTATGGTTTTTTCAATTATATCTTGAAGCAAAGCACAAGGAAAAATAGAAATTAGATGTATTAATTGGAAGGCTAGGCCCGTGGTTGGCAAACCGCGGCTCGCGAGCCACATGTGGCTCTTTGGCCCCTTCAGTGTGGCTCTTCCACAAAGTACCACGTGCGGGCGTGCAGGTACAGTGCGATTGAAACTTTGTGGCCCATGCACAGAAGTCAGTATTTTGTGGAAGAGCCACACTGAAGGGGCCAAAGAGCCGCATGTGGTTCGCGAGCCACTGGCAAGTGGTTGGCAAACTCTTTACTCAACAGAGCCAAATATCAACAGTACAACAATTGAAATTTCTTTTGAGAGCCAAATTTTTTAAACTTAAACTCTATAGGTAGGTACATTGTTCTTAACTTAATTAGGGTACTCCTAAGGCTTAGGAAGAGCCACACTCAAGGGGCCAAAGAGCTGCATGTGGCTCGCAAGCCGCAGTTTGCCAACCACGGGGCTAGGCTATTTTATGGTGACCAAACACTCAATGCTTTGGTTACCTTCACCTTTAACCAAGGTGTATTTCTCCCTCATTAAAAACTCAACCTATGTGCTCAGAGAGGCTCTTCTCCTCATATTCAGGGATATATCATAGTGGAGACTTCACCATCTGGCAGCTGCATCATCTGGAACACATGGCCTTCAAGGGTACAGCAACAGAAGAAGAGAAAACTGACAATTGGATGGATACTTTTATGGACTTGATTTGGGAATGGCTTAGATAGCTTCCACCAACATTCCAGTGGACAGAACCATTATGTGGTCTCAACTGTGAATAAGCCAGGGAAATGAGTCTCCCTCTCTGCCTAGGAATAGGAAAATAAAACAATTTTATAAACAGATAGTTTTGTCTACAGGGGTAGACAGTAAGGAAAAGAAAGATGCCAATAAAATTAATGTCTTTATAAGATTTTTGATTGCTTTGATTTAGAACTGAGCCTTGCAAATTTCTTTCAAGTGCATTTCCTTCTGTCTTTCTAAAAACTTTTACTTCCTTCCCTAACTTTGTGACCTGAAAAGAATTAAGTAAAATTCTGACATAATGTACACATATCTTAGGTTTTAAACAATAGTATTTTCCTACCATATATATTAGAGGCCCAGTGCACAACATTCGTGCACTTGGCGGGGAGGGGGAGTCCCTCAGCTCAGCCTACACCCTCTTGCAGTCTGGGAGCCCATGGGGGATGTCCGCCTGATGGCTTAGGCGGGGAGCGGGCCTAAGCCAGCAGGCAGACATCCCCTGAGGGATCCTTAGCGCTGCCTGGGAGGTGAGAGAGGCTCCCACAACCGCTGCTGTGCTCAGCAGCCGTGAGCCCAGCTTCTGGCTGAGGGGTGCTCCCCTTGTGGGAGTGCACTGACCACCAGGGGGCAGCTCCTGTGTTGAGTGTCTGCCCCCTGGTGGTCAGTATGCATCATAGCAATGGGTCATTCCACCATTCAGTCGATTTACATATTAGGGTTTTATTATATAGGATAGGTTTATGTAAATTCTTTATTGTTTTTTGTATCTTTAGACACAATCAGATACAGCCCAGGAAACTGAAACATAATGAAATGGACTGAGAAAGGCAGGTGCTTAGAATGAATGAAATCTGTTTTCTGGGTTGCTCAAAAGGTGCTGGGGAGGTAGGCAAGGGTTGGGATGCAGAGTGTTATGGCCTGTGTGTGGTGATAATAGGAAAAATAATAGATGTCACCCAGCCAAGCATGCAGCACCTGGATGTCCAGCACAGAGTGCATGTTAATAGGTAGGTCCAGCAAAGACTCTACAAAAAGCCCAAACTCAAATTGTAGGCAGATAGAATAAAGGTTAACAAGCAAGAAAATAGTCTCAGCTACAAGAATACTCAAAGATAGATCTTTGGTCTTTAGAAAAGGCAAGGTCCCAGTGCTAGAAAGACCTTTGAAATAGGGAAAAGGGCAAAAGGGTTTGAGTTAGAAAAACAGGCTATTCGCCACTGATGCACAGTATAATCATTTGGGGGGACTTACCAGAGGACGCCTAGACCAATTAAATCTAGTCAACTAGGGGTTGAAACCTAGTCAACAGTCATTTTTCAAGCTCCCCAAGTATTTATAATCTTAAATCAAGGCTGAGAACAGATGAGTAGGTGGCTGATAAGTTATACATCTTTTATATATTTCTAACCAAAGTCAGGAATGGCCTAGAGCAGTGATGGCGAACCTTTTGAGCTCGGCGTGTCAGCATTTTGAAAAACCCTAACTTAACTCTGGTGCCGTGTCACATATAGAAATTTTTTGATATTTGCAACCATAGTAAAACAAAGACTTATATTTTTGATATTTATTTTATATATTTAAATGCCATTTAACAAAGAAAAATCAACCAAAAAAACGAGTTCACATGTCACCTCTGACACGCGTGTCATAGGTTGGCCATCACTGGCCTAGAGGCTGTAGGTCAGGAATTACTACAGGGGGGAAAATGTCTGTAAGTACTAGGAGCCCATAATTAGCTGTGCAAATGTACATGTGTGTAAAGCATGTAATATTCACAGAAACTGGCTTGTGATTTGGCAGCTGTTCTGTGGTCTGGCAATACCTACAGACTTATTGTAATGAGAAAACATGTTAGAAAGTTACAATGATTTCTTTCCACTTTGACTTCAATTTAAACTATCTAAACTATTCAAAATACTTTAAAATCTTGTTATTCAAAAGTGGGACTAAATACCTGAGTGTTTATAAGAGAGAAGAGCTTGTTGGTAATTAAGGCATCCAGTGTAAGATAATAGGGAAGCCTTGCACTATAAAGCTGTGTAAGTGCTGATTTCTTAATAAGGAGATCCAGGTGTAATCCCCACTGCAGTCACAGCTGCTCTTTCCCATTATACCCAAGCCATCGTTCTTGGTGCCTGGAGCAGTCCAATAAAACAATATTACCGTCTTAAGTATTTATATCTCCCCCCTTTCTCCTTCTCATAATACTAGGAATACCATAAACACTATTGCCATGGAAACTATCACACCATCCAAAACACTTTTGGGTTTTTGAGGACTCTGCATGTGAGACTGTAAATAAAAATAGTTAGAATTTTACAAGTGTGGCCTAAGGAAATAAAATGGCCATTAAATCTTCCCCTGACTTAAGGGTATCATATAACTTGCCTTTCCCCTTATCCTGAAAGAAATTAATCTACGTACTGAAGTAAAGGCTATTATTTCCATGACAAAGTATCAATGGTGACCTTATAGTAATAGTCAGTTAAGCCTTGGCACAATCTCAATTGAATGATGGTTAACGTTTCTAGGGTAATTCCTTCATTTCTTTCTTTATTTACTTGTTTATTTATTCCTTCAACAGATATTTTTTGAACATCACTGCATGCCAGACATATACTAGATGCTGGACACACAAAGATGAATAAGACACCACTGTCTTGTCATAGATCATGTTACGCCAAACCAACAAACACACAAGGGCCTTATTTGTATGTGTACATTTGCTTCCTACTTTTAAAATATTGATATATGAAAATAAAAACTTATGAAAGATAAATGAGGGAATGATGTTTCTAGTTTGCAAAATATTTTCATGAAATAACTCACCTCTGGGTTCTTTCAAATAGTGAATCCCCTCAGGGCATTTAAGAGTTATTGATGGTTGACCACTTGATTAAGGGATTACAGAGAGCACTGCAGTGTTTCTCAACTCTGGTTACATATTCCAATCACTTAGGGAGCCTGAAAAGCATACTAATGCCCAGGCCCCATTTCTGAACAATTGAATAACAATTACTGGAGGTTAGAATTGAACATCATCTTTTCTAAACATTTCCAGGATTAATCTAAATGTGCATCCAGGATTAAAAATCACTGTAATAGGGCAAGAGTGGGCCAAATCTTACTTGCCATTTGTTTTGTTAATAAAGTTTTATTGGCCTGGCCGGTGTTGCTCAGTGGTTGAGCATTGACCTATGAACCAGGAGGTCATGGTTCCATTCCCAGTGAGGGCACATACCTGG